GGGCATAAATGAAAAGATACAGTACTGTGCATTCCCTACCTGATTCCAGTCATGTAAATACTCTGTAAAGGACTGAAAGCACTGGTGTTTTTGACGTCAGGATGAAAGGAGAAGGCAAATAATTAAATTAAAAGGAAGTCCATCCTACCAGTAGGATTTTTTCCCCAGAAAAAACAATTTGTGCCCTGTATATTGAGGGCAGCTTGAATTATGCCCAAAGCAAGTAGTTGAGATGCATATTTTAACAGAAGGATCACATATTAACCTTCTTTCTGCCCCAAACTGAAGTGTTACAGAAAGCTTTGATACATTTTTAAATACTAATGATTTAATAAAAGGCAAAAATTTTTCTGAATCATAAGAACTTATAAACGTCTCATGAGATCTACAAAATTCTTAGTAGACTTCACTCAACGTTGATAAAATTTTAACAAATCCATCTTTAAAAGGATACTATCAGAAATTCTTCTGCTTCTGTGTTCTATCCAAATCTTCAATCTGGAATCTCACTTTAGAACAAGAACAAAAAAAATTGGGTGTTGTTATGGTCTGAGAAGTGGCTTCAACAGAATAATCCTGTTCAATATATCTCCATCCTGTAAACCATGCAATTACAATATCTTAATTTTATGTTTAAAATACATTTTGCTCTACTGCTGTAATACAAGGGAATAGCTAAATTGAATTGATTTCGATCCTGAAGACTAAAACATATTTGAAGCAAGCTTGCATATAAATATGTGGCAGGTTAAGATCTATCTGTTAATGTCGCTTGACTGAATTTTCCTTTCTTCCCTTCCAACTGATCAGTGGCACTATCTGGAATGTCACATTTATTACCTCAGTGGAATTAAGAGGCTTTGGAAGTCTTGGAAAAGTTAAGAAGTAATTTAAAACACTTGAGAACCTTTCAGGTTGCCTTTGGATTTCATGCAGAAGCAAAATAAGCATTTTTTCCCCTTTTTGCAAGATTTTTGTAATGTACTTATCCCATTTCATTTTATCAAATTACTAGCTTTCAGCCTTGAAGGTCTAAGAGTGCACAAAAGCTAATGAAAGTTGCAGCACCTATTTATGCTCACCATACCTGTGCCATCCTCTTGCCTGTTCCAGGATAATCGCTTCTGTGGTTGCACAGTGTACTAGCTCAAACTGATTCATTTAGAGAAGGCTGTATTTATTAATTCACTGGGTTAGTTGGAACATGAATCAGTTCCCATATAAACTTTTTTATTGGTAAGTTTGAGATCGTGGCTCTGAAATGATCTAGTGGCTCCCTTGCGCTGACAGTTGCTCACAGAAGGAAGGGTGACTGAGGGCCAGCATTAACAGGGAGTAAATGGTGAGATTTCTGTGGGAGAAAGGAAAATGATAGTAATTTCTTTTTTTGGTGATGTGGAACAGTTAGGTGGTGCTGTGCAGCATATAAACGTGATAACACCCTGGATGGAAGGAAAACACTTGAGGCTGGGGGCTGCTTAAATTGCAATGGATATGGTGTTCATGAAAACTCTGCTCTCCTAAATGTAAACCTACTATTGGCACGTTTACTTCTCTGTTAAAAAATATCTTGGGGGTCTGAACTAGAAAGACAAAAAATTGGTGATCTAACAGCTACTAATGTGTTCAGTCTTGATTTTGGAAAAAAAAAATCAGTATTGTGTATCCTTTCAAATACTATCTCTTTTAAAAGAAAGAGATTCTAACTGAATTTTAGGAATTGTTTGGTCTTTTGTATTTTAACTAATGCTAATTTATATATATATATACACACACACACACTGTTGCACGTTCTCACTTGAAACAGTCTGTTGTGAACAGACAAATTAGAAAGGTTTGCTCATTGGATATTCAGACCAGCATTTTACTGTAAAATTGTTTATATGAGATAAAAAAGACATATTCTTGCAATTTGTGCATATGACTGGCTACACTGGTTACTGTAAGAGAAACTTTTTTTAATCTCAGATTTTTATCCCCCCAATCTTATTCTAATGATGCTGCCTTGGTTTGCTAAATAATATTTTCGCTACACACCTTTATGAGGCTTCCTGAAGATATTAAGGCTGTCCCAATACTCTTGTAGCAAGCGCAGGTTAAGGCCAGGATTTTTTTTTTAAAGAAACAATCTTCAGCAGCAGATGGAGATAAAATACTTTGTTCATTAAACAGCCACTGAGTGTAGGTGTAGGGTATGGCAGAAACAGTAATATAAATTTCAAGGACAGATATGGCCCTAGTATAATGCAGAAGAGGTGCTGTTTGCAACACAGGAGTGTGCATGATTGGCAGATTTACGCTAACATGAAAGATTAAACCCTAGAGATGAAGCTCTTTGTTCTCACTATACAGTCAGGTTTGCTTTTGACTTCTCTCCTCTTTTAAGACACGTATAAAGGATGTTTCTTAGCAGATGGACTTTACATCAGAGATAAAATTAGATCTCAATAGCTTCAGTACTGAACAAGCTCAAATGCTCCCCTCTTCTCTCCCAAACTTCATAGCATAGTGTAAAGAAGTTCAAATCTGTTGTGCATGTAAATAGTATTAAGAGCTATATATAGGCTGGGTTATTTTCTTTTCTTCATGGAAATATTTAAAACAGTCTTTCATATTTAGTGGTAACATTTGATATTGAAAGCACTACCTACCAGTTTTAACAAAGTAAATGAATGGCTTTCTAACTAGTCATTGTGCATCGGTTTTGTGTTGAAACTGAGGCAATGTAACTAGTACCCCAGTTAGCTCAAGGTGGCTCTTTGCTAACCTTACAGACAAGGTAACAGAAGCAGTATATTGGAGGGTCATTGCTACTATGGCAGTGCCAGCTACTTATAGTGGGATATTTCATGGAATTCCTGAACACTACAGTGTTATTCAGGAAACGTGGCAACTCTATGGTCAGGTTTGAAATTATGCCTTAGATGATCTCAGTTAACCTGCTTTCTGTCTTTCATTTTCTTAAATATAAGCATCTGGGCCCACACTATAAATTAGCACTTGTTGCTTTTCTTCACCTCTCACCATATATAGGCAAGTTTAAACTATTTTAGCAGCCAAACAACTTATGTTCAAGTTTGCTTTAAATTACAAAAAAAAAAAAGGGGGGGGGGGGAGAATAAGCTGTTTAACTTGACCTTGTTTGGCTGAGGATTCAAGAGATATTCTGTTATGGGCTGGGGGACTTAATTAAAAGGCTAAAACTTGCTTCTACTAAATGTTCTTTATGAACAAGAAAGGTTTTGGTTTCTTCTGCTTATGAAAAACAAAGCCAAGGTGACAGGTTAATCACGGGATGTCAATGAGATTGTATTTGCATGCCTGCGTTGTCATACTCCTTTAGAAATTGGGTGTAAGCGCTAGAAGTAGTATGTCTGGATTAGATTTTGACCTTGAAAGTCAGAACAGATTTTTTTCTTATTACAGGTGTACACCGTATCTTGCATGCATAATCAATTTTATATTTAAGGATAATCTCAATGGAAATCCCTTTATTTAAAAAATTCCCTAATCTTGGTGCTCAGTGCTAGAGTTTGTGTTTCAAGTAACAATCATTTGGAGGTCTAGGTAAATATAATTGAATTGGTAAAGCATTTTTTCAAGGCACTTGGCTAACAACAAGGGTTGGTAGCTATACCTCCTGAAAAATAAGTTTTAAACATAGTTCTGAAGTGTTCAGCTTTTTGAATCAGTAGTTTTGGCTTTGGCTAGTATTTTGAAAGAACATGCTGATTTGTCTGGTGATTACTAGGCTACAAATTTCATTTGGGTATATGTTGGTGCTTAAAACCTCACTACTCCATGCGTGGCACTGATGAATAGTATGGAGGATAGCAAAGAAAAATTCTGAAATGTGTTGGTATTAGGAGGAGGAGGGATTATTGGGAAATCAACAGTTCAGCAGTATTGGGCAAGGGCCCAGATCGCCACCGGTTACTGCGGGGCCTCGGGCACTCACCAGCTTTGCCCCTCTGCCCGGTTTCCTCGAGGGTAGGGAGGTTCCTGGCCAGAGACAGGACGCTGCAGCCCACGCCTGTCCTTGCCCTGCTGCTGGCCGGCTCCGTGACTTTTTAGGGCGGCCAACACTGCTTATGGCTCCGTCTTCCCTGTGGTAAAAAAATTCCCCCCCCCGGTCTTGGCTTGCGTGCGAGGCGTGCGCTGCGCTCCGCCGCTGCAGCAGGCCCCATCCCGGGCGTTTAAACACCTCTGTTTTCAAGACC